CAACTCGACCGCAACCTTTATCATCTATCAGATGTAAATGGAAGCGCTGAAAGCTCTAAAAGCGAACGCAATCTTTATAACTAGACTACATATGTGAAATTACGTATACAATTCGAAATGTATTGACTTTAAACTTACTTAGACGATGAAGTAGAATGTGCTCGAGATGAATTCTTAGATTCTAAGCTTTGTGAGGAACTTCTGCTTCGACATCTTCTTGCCGCATTGAATGTACCTGTAAATTAATCTCGTGTACCTCCTACGTTATATTCTGATTGACATTAGCTTGCGAGTAAGATCATTATCATAACACATAATATCTGACATCATATGATTTTAAGACGAATTTCTCAGTGAGAAATTACCGTCAATTCGACGTCGAATCGATGATAAAAATTACGAAAAATTTCAATGTCGAAATTATTCAATTCGATATCGAATCGACATCGATTCAATGAATTGATTTATTCTCGCTGGATTAAAAATGCTCGCTATCCACTAAAAAAAAATTGCTGAATTTTAATTAATATTTCAATACTACTATCGAAATATTTACTTACAGTAAATAAATATTTCTTCAAAATAAAAGTTGTGCTTAAATCAAATAAATATATGTTTACATTTAGTAAATATTTCGTTAGTAATATTGAAACAAATATTTATTAAAATTTAATAATTTTTTTCAGTGCATCCAGTAGGAAACAATAAAAAATAAAATTATTACCTTTCGAATCCGGCATATCTGGGTTATCTACTAGCACGTGGCGGACTATGAAAACAAAATGTATAAAACTAATGTAGAATAATATAATGGAAACAATAATTGCGGTAAATTGGCAAACGGCAAAGTGTCGCGACACAAAGCAAAATTAAATAAAATCATCAACTCATCAAAGCAACTAACGTGAACTGAACTAAATATTGAACATTTGAACTGAACGCATACCAAACAACGACTGAGCGAATAGAAGACAGAGAAACGTATCTCATATAGACTATGTTACACTTAGTGTTCTCAACGTTCTTAGAATCATTTCGTCCTTGTTTATTTAATACTGAACACAGGCGAACTATACGAGCGTTGTGAGCGCCAAGTGGAAAACATTCACATTATAACAGAAGAAAACCGACACCCTCTGAGAGTTTCTAAAGCAGTGAATTCTATAGGGTGTATTTTAAAATTTACTACCAGTACTGAATCTATAATGCACATAATGTGCATTATAAAAAACAATAGATTTTCAGTATTGCCAGTAAAGGACGCCGCACAAATCTTATAGAAATTGAATTTGGTCGAATTGCTTAAAAATTTGATGTATGTTGTAGACTTATCGTCCTGATAAAAAGTCTCCACGGGCACGATCCTCTGTAATAATGAACCATTTGACCTCTATAAGCCGTCATTTTTCAAAACTGGTTAATACTACAATATCTTATTTTCAATGAATATGGTGCATTTCTACATTATTTGCTCTTTCTGTGTATATTTTTAAGTAAAAAAAATTACAAGGATAATATTGACTTCATTGTTTCTCATAAAAAAGCTATAAGGATATCGAAGTCGATAACTTGATTTTTGAGATTTAAGCCAACGCTGTGCTGCTTTACGTCTAAAGCACGGAATTTTTGGCACGATTATGGGGCGCGCACAAAGAACCGCTGCGCATTGTTTATATTGAATAGATCGTGTGCCAGTCAAAATATTGCTATCTTATTTCAATGAATATTCGGTTTGTACGCAGCTTTGTGCGCGTCCCGAAATCGTGCTTGAACTTCTGCGACCTATTATATAATTCCTTTCAGAGCTATTCTTTAAATCAGTTGTTTTTACAATTACTTTTACAAACAATTCTTTTTAAAGCTTTCACAATAGTTATTTTCATATCCGGGAAAAAAT